GTCAAAAAATAAATAAAATCTTAAAAAAAAAAAAAAAAAAAGAACTAGCATATCTCAAACATGCTGTATGATTACAATTGCCTTCTGAATTCCAAAACTCGGTTTCACCTCTTACCGTACTAACATCCAGAGGCAGTATGAAGACGATAAGAAAGCAGAGATACCAAGCTAGCAGTGTTCCGACAATTACAAGTCTATGCTGTTTCTTGAAATCTCCATATCGATGAAGTAGGAATAATGCCAGAAAAAAGACAAAAACAATCTCGAGTCCCAAAGCTGCACCGCTCATTATTGAATGTTCACTCTGACTAACCAAAGTCACTCATGTACAGGTCTGGGTCATATCTGTAAACTGGAAAAGAAAAAAAAAAGCAGGATTAACAAAGGAAATAACCACTTGAAAATTTCCTAAATATTCGTTTACTAATAAATTCTTTGGAAAATCGTCAGTCTTTACATTGAACTACAAATAAAAGGAAAAGAATAATTCTTATTCTCAAATATACATCTTATTTTTTAAAGCAGATCTTAAAAATTTCACATAAATTATATCTTCAGGAAAAAAGTTATCTTAATAAAAATTACACTAGTTCTAAAAATATTACAATATAAGAATACTAAATGTGAACAGTTTTAATAGTGTCATTTGGAGTTTGTTCCTTAAGGTTATAAGTCCCAATAGAAATTTAATACAAATACACTACTAACTAGATCCTAGGAAATGAGATATTTTCTAAAATAAAGTTTTCTAAGTCATCCATAACCCATTACTTAAAATGTTCCAAAAGAGGGAGAGAGAGCATGAAAAAGAGCATTTGAAAGTAACATTTCCTTTGTTTAAAACAGTTTTATTTTCTTGTGATAATCTTGTCTAACAAATTTAACAATTGAAATTCTTATTTACTGCTTCACAAAATACAGTTGACCCTTGAACAACATAAGTTTGAACTGTGTGGGTCCAGTTCCACACGGATTTTTTTGATAAATAGAGTACTATAAATTTATTTTCTTTTTTATGATTTTCTTAGTAACATTTTCTTTTCTGTAGCTTACTTTATTGTGAGTATATAGTTTACATACAGTATATGTTGAATCATGATGTTGTACACCTGAAACTAATATAGTGTTGAATATTAATTATATTTCAACAAAAAAATACTCATACTACAAAATAAATATCAAGTTCATCCAGTAAAACACACACACACACACACACACTGTTAACCAGCTGTTTATGTTATGGTAAGGCTTCTGGTCAACTGCAGGCTATTAATAGTTAAGTTTCCAGGGAGTCAAAAGTTATACACAGATTTTCAAGTGGACAGGGGATTGGCACCTCTAATTCCTGCATTGTTCAAGGGTCAACTGCATACTGATCACTTTCCATTAGCTATATAAATCTTATTTTCTTTAAAGAAACTTACTATTAAATGCAGAAAAATTTATCAATGATTATTGAATAAAGTCATACACTTGAGAATATTTTTAATTATAAATGCTGATAATAGAGACATCAGCAATGGTTTGTTATCTCTTTACTCTTATAAAATAATTTACCTTTTTTTTTTTAAGATTTTATTTATTTGTTTGTCAGAGAGAGAGCACAAGCGGGGGGAGCAGCTTGCAGAGGGAGAAGCAGGCTCCCCGCTGAGCAGGGAGCCCAACGCGGGACTCGATTCCAGGACCCTGGGATCATGACCTGAGCCGATGGCAGACACCTAACCAACTGAGCCACCCAGGCATCCCTAAAATAATTTACCTTTACTAACTGAATGCAATATGTTCTTTTCACTTTTGTGAAATCAATTTTAGGCATTTTTGTTTGTCCATAGACTACAATATTCTAAGGAATTAATATCTTAACAGAGAATCAAGATTGTGATGCAGAATAAAATAAGGCAGAATCAATAAAATACACCAACATCTCCAACCAAAACTAGTTATAAAACAAATAAAGAAAGTTTGGGTATTATCAGGCTAAATTTAAATTCATATAAGAAATATCCTTACATGGAATATCACAAACAAAAATCACATATAATAAACTATTTTCTTCACTATTTCTTCACTATAGAAGTACTTTCTATTCCTCTGTGCATTTCAACCAGTATTTTCATATTTCTTAAATATCTAAAATCGACCCCCTTTCATCACTATCACCACATCCTGCTATGTTTTTCTTCAAAGCACTTATCCACCTAATATAATGTATATTTACATTTATTGTCTCCCTGTAACCCCTTCCTCCCCACCTCTACCCCCCAGACTTCATGAAAGCAGAGACTTGACTATTCAGTACTACATCCCAAGTCTCTAATATAGTGTCTAGCATACAGTAGATACTCAAAAAGTATTTGTTGAATGAATAAATGAATAAAAAACTTACTCTATACTTCAGTATATACACTATTTTTATTAATGCTGACTATAAAGACAACATAAAATTCCTGTTATGGTCTCCAAAATTGATATAACAAATACTTATTACAACACAAAGACTTATTAAAACTGTCATTACTACTACTCAAAATTTCAAATTTCATATTCTATGAAAAAAACCTATACCATCACAATAAGAGTAAGTCAAATCTTATTTGTAAGCCAAGAAAAGATTAAGTGGATAGTTTAATATAGAGTGTGCTGATGAAAACCATTACCTCCTTCAAGATCCAGCTTTAAAAAAACGTAATTCAATGTGAATTTAAATGTAAGACAGTCATTATTTGAAAATCCTTTCACAGTTTGACCTAGATGTTTATTTTCCTGAAATTGTCCAGTCCAAGGAATATGATAATCATAGAAAAAAGACTGAATATCAGAGATTACCAAGGAAATGCTAAAGTATGGCAGAAGCAAATGATGGAATATTATGGAAATGTAAGAAATGATGTTTGTTAAGATTATTTCATAACATTAGAAAATTACCATAATATTAATTGAAAAGAACCCTCAATTCACACATTTTTACATTTATTATAATATGCATAAAAAACTAAGACAAAAAGGAAATACATAAAGACATTAATAACAGGTAGGAAGATTATGGGCATAAGCAAACAACAAAATCAGTTATAAATTTGCTACTAGCTACTAATATTTTTTTATAACGGTTGTCAATTTTTCAGTCTGATTCATAGTACTTTAAAATCTTGTAGATGAATAAACAGAATTATGCATCCTTTATTCTAGTAATAAAGAAATGATTTGGTTACATCTCTTCCCATTCTCAGTGTATTAGTCACCTATTCCTGCTAAAAACAATTCCTATAAACTTAGAGGCTTAAAACAACACCCTTATATGATAGTTTCTGTGGGTCAGGTGTCCAGGCACAACTTGGTTCAACTAAATTCTCAAGATGGAAATCAAGGTGTCAGCAGGTTTGTGTTCCTCTCTGGAGACTCTCGGGAAGAATGTACTTCTAAGTTCATTCAGGCTATTGGCAAAATTCAGTTTGTTATGTTTATAGGACTGAGATCCCCATTTCCTTGCAGGCTGTCAGCTAGCATTTGCCCTTAGCTCCAGAGGCCTCTTCCCAGTCTTTGCATGTGGCCCTGTGTACCTCAGAGTTAGCAATGGCTTTTCAAATCCTTCTCAGGCTCAGAATCTCAGACTTTCTCTTCCACCCTCAGCTGGGAGGAAACTCTGCTTTTAAGGGCTCATCTGATCTCATTGGGAAAATCTGGATAATCTAGTCATATTAGTAACCAAAGCTGTAAAAAAAATAATTCCTCACTTGATGAAGGCATAGATATCCTTGGGGGTCTATTATTCTGTTTAACACACCATCTATTTCTGTTCAAGCTGAACTCCTGTTGTCTTGTTATGACACAAGGTTAGGCCTAGGGGTCCCACTAAATTGGAGAAGAAAATTGGGGTTTCCCTAATCTGAGATGAGAAAATAATAGTTTTAAAGTCTATATCTTTGACCTTGTACCTAAATTCAAGTGAGGAATTATTTTTTTACAGTCCAGAATGACAGCACTTTCCAAGGTTCTTTATGAACTCCTATATCCTATAGCTTGTTTTGGTTCTTTCAACTGAAAAATTTTGTGTTCAAAGCTAGGTGCACCTTCTCCTCCATCTGATCTAGTTACTTATATCTTAAATTCATAAAATCACTGTTAATTAAAATCTAAAAAAATAAAGATTAGACAACTCAGGTTTGGCTTACTGAAAAGAACTTACCACCAGGGAGTACAGCAATGTGGCAATATATACCAAAGACCTTAAAATAAGTATATATCTCTTGTCCTAGAAATTCCTCTCCAAATAACTTAAAGAAAACCCAAAATGTGAACAAAGATTTACCTATAATGTTTCATGGCAGCATTATTTAAACATGAAAACATAGAAACAACTTAAATGTTTGTACTAAATAGTCCAGGAAGTCTTAAAAATGTCCTCCAGTCACATCGCTGTCCATTGCCTTTTTGAAAAAAGCAGCCAAGGGTTTCATAAATCACTAATCCTATTAACCTGTCCATGACTCATGGGAGCAGGGATCTGCAGCAAGTCCCCTGCACCTAAGTCAAGGACTACATAACAGCAAAACTAAATTGCAGGCAGTGATTCAAGGAGGACACCAGATTCTCCCAGTCTACAGGAAAGGTGAGATCCACAGGGACACTTTAGAGATGTCAAAAGGGACAGGGGTGGGGTCTAAGGGAGTACACATAAGAAACACATGGGACAAAAATACACCAAAATGCTAACAGTGGTTGTCATAAAATGGTAAAGAGATGATTTCTATTTTCTTCTTTGCTTTTTGTGTGTTTTTCATTTTAAATAATGAACATTTATTATTCTGTAATTTCAAAATTATTTAAAAATCAATGCAGTAATATGAAAGTAAAGCACATGGCAAATAGGAAATGAGAAATTCTGCTGCAGTGTTAAGTGCCTAAAGTTACAACTATTTTAAAATACAAATGTTTTGTTATACTGTGGTAAACCCGCGCTCCAAATCTCAACTTTATTTAATTGTGTAATTTTATGCAATTTAAAAGGTTAAGGGAGGATAAATAATCACCTCACACAGGTTGCTGTGAAGATCAAATGAGATACAAAAGTGAAACACCAACTAGGAGTTCTAGAAACAGAGTAGGTCCTCAAAAAATGCTAGTTGCTCATCTCCACCTCCTTCACATCATGTGCTTCTAGAAGATAACTAGTTGCTTCAATAGTCTCAAAGCAAAGCTTTACACTAATAGCTTCCTCTCCCACCATCCCCCCAAAATATGAATGGATACCAAATGCTTTTTGCTTCTCATTCTCTGTGGTTACCACAGCCTGGGCCCACCCAGATTCTTATAAAACAAAAAATGATCTTTGCTCCAAGAAATTGCTCCCTTTGCCTCTCTCGACAAATTGGGATTACCTCTCTAGGTCTACAAGGTAGCCCAAACACCCCTTCAACACTCTGTTGTAAAGTGGGAGAACACATCTCAGAGCCATGTCAAGAAGGTGTATTAGACATCTTCTATAGACACCAGTGTCATATAGAAAGACAATGCCATTCTTCTAGGCACATGATCAAAATGGAGGTGGATTAAAATGGATCATTTGCTGACCTGCAACCATGTACAGCTGTGCAAAAATATACTCAAGGGCAAAAGAGGAAATATGCCTCTGACCACAAAAGTGGTACTTCTAGCAATATTCCTCAAATATTAAAATAATGTGTTTAGGCTAACTGGCAAAAATGAAAGAAGAACATGCAAAAATTTGGAGGCAAATCAAAATTCAGTTCCGTGTGATTAGAAATTGAAAGAGAAATTCAAAGCTATCATAGGTTGGCATTAACACCACAGCAGCAAAAGTAGATTTTACTCAAAATCAAAATGCCAGTTCATTCGTTCTAATTTTAGTGCTTGATATCCAGACATAGTCTACCTTTCAAAATACCAGTTCTGAAAGTCTTTAAACACTTAAAATCCAATTTAGTCCCATACCAATTATTAAGATATCGTACAATGTCTTTCAAATGCCTTTCATAATTAGCTTGTTAATGTTACTGACTTGGGGTACTGTTTCCCAAGTACTTTATGGTTTATAGTGGGTTTTTTAGGCTAAACACACTTTAAGTGGAAAACTTACAGGTTAAGATAATTTTGGAACTTGAAGCATCTGCCAAATATCTTCAAAAAGAAAGAGAAAGAGAAGGAAAAGACAAGAAGGAAGGATGAAAGGAAAGATTTGTGGTAGCAACTGAAGAGAACAGAGACAAAAATTTTGTCCAAACCTAGGATTCTGAAGCTGAATGAAAAATTTCTAGCCAGAACCTAATGATGCATCAGACTTGGGCTATGCTAACTTGAGTACGTATCTTTATTCAGATATGTGAAATAATAAAAACTAGGAGACAACTCAAGATCTTAATAATGAAAAATTGAAAGTATCAGAACTACACGTGAGTGTTGTGGAAGTCAACAATCATCTACTACCAATAAAAAGTTAAATCTCCCAAATATAACCACCATTATTCCCTGTTTAAAGATTCCAGGTATAGGGAGGATTCAGCTTAGGATATACACAGAATACCCCAAGACAGTGTGGCTCCTACTCTAAAAATACAAAATAGCTGTAATATCTTTTGAAGCCATTTTCAAAAAATGAGCTGAGTTGCTAAACCAACCAGGTAAACTGAATTCCAAAGTGTGACAAGCCCTTCTGAAGACAGACATGTACAAAGTGCTTAACCTTTGGTAAGACATGAGAGAGAAAAGGGAGCAACCATCTAAGCAAGTAAGAAGAAAACAACTGGAATTGTAATGGATTCTTAAAGATTTCACGTAAAGAGATTATAAGACTTATTTTGGTAATTAAAGAATAATCCTTAGAATCCTTCTTAATAAAATAATTTTTAAAAAAAGAATAGCTAACATTTAGTATGAGTTTACTAGATTCCAAGCATTATGCTAGCACTTAACATACTTTATCAGATTAGACCACACAAACCAGTAAGAAAGGACTATTAGTATCCTTGTTTAATAGAGGAGAAAAAGGTACAGAGAGAGCCAGAAGTTCGTCCACATTCCCACACAGCCAGTGAGTGGCAAAGCTGGGATTCAAACCTATTCATCCTAACTATAATTGGGATACTACACAGTCTTTTTTCAAATCCAGACATACTTTCTTAATGCTATTTAAATTGTTTAAATAATTTCTTTTGTTTGGTTTTTACAGTGAACAAATTAGAAACATTCTATTAATTATTCCTTTAGATATATCAAGATAGAATGCTAGAAAAGTCATGTTTAATACAGAATTTAGCAAAGTCTTTTCACCTTCCAGGTAAGACTACTATATTACTTAAGGGTAATATATGACTCTAATTTATGTGGGAAAGGTAGAAAAGCAAACATAGAGCAAATTAGAATAGGGAAAGAACCCTTCTGTTCTTGCTCCAATCTGTCCATCACAGACAGCATTAAACTACAGAGATCTAAAGATCTACTTTAAAAATAATGGAGGGAAAGGATCCTTCTGAAATTTGATTGGCAGGTAGAAACTTCTTGCTATATAATCGTTCTTGGTCTTTTGTTCCCCCAAGCTAAATAACATTAAAAAAACCTAAAGAAATCTTTAAGATTTATTTCATGCTTTGATGGAACTAAGAAAAAAAGCACATCACTCTTCTATTTAAATACAATCGCTTTTGTCATATGTGATTTTCAAAAAGAACGCTAATATACTACTGAATATACACATAGCTTACAGTGAAATGTAGTTTCCAGTCTTTTTTTGCCCCTCCTGTGCCCTCACAATATTGACCATCTTGTCTCTTACAATAAACACTTTCCCAATTTACAAAGTCGCTTTGTATTCTACCTCAAGCTTCTAAAGAGTACTAAAAATTACTCACTCTAATGTCATTTGCAGAGATTTAAAAAAAAAAAAAAATTGTAATTCATCTGTCCTAGATACTGATCTAGTAATTCTAGTTTTAGAAATTTAGTTACACCTCTCACTCAAATGGGACATGGGTGCGCTGAGCAAGATTAAATAAATAAAATTAACCAGGAAAAAAAAATAATCCATATCAGTAGCAATCACAGTGTAATTCTTGAAGAAACCAGACTGCAATATCTATGTAGCTGATAATCTCATCTCTTCAATAGACACAATTCCTTATATCGAACAGACTCCCATGTACCAATTTAAACTTTTATTTACTATATAAAGAGAACGAACACCCATGATTAGAATAATGAAGAAAAAAAACTGATTATTTCAGCAAGCTAAAGTATTTTTGTTACCAGGGCAAACTGTTAGTAAAATACCTATTCTAGAATTTGAAGACTGATTTTCAAAGTTGACAGGCTTTCTTTGAAGTTCTATAGAGGGCCTCCTGTCCACCAATTCAGCTATTTCAAGTATTCTAAGAACTAGAAATGTTCCCTGGCTCCTAGGAAACTACTTACTAAATCCTACCACCAGGATATTTCTCATCTTTAAATTTAAAATCATCCCATTAGACCTTCCTATCTATAAGATCTACTTTGTATCTCAAAACTTTGTTTATTCTCATCACAGCATTTAAAATATTTTTTCCTTGTTTCTTTCTCCTCCATTAGTGTATACACTCCCTCTGTTTTACTTTCTTGAAAGAGACTATAACTTTTTTTAAAGACAAAATTATGTTCTCTAATGAGTTGCAATTTTAAGGAAAAGGATGTAGATTTCAAAGGAAGGCAACTGCTTTCTCCTTAGCCAAAGTAACATAAAGGTAACTTGCATTTAACAATATTTTCCATAATATCAGTTTAATGAATTGTGAACATTCAGCCTAGTATTTTCACCTAGTTTAAATCAACTTGTTATGAGCATATCCCTTCTTTACACCAATTTCACTTATTTTCAAGAAAAAACTAAAGATTCGTGAATACCTTAATCAAGAAGTGGTCACTTTTCAGGCTAAGCACCAAGCCTGAAACCAGCACATACCCGGGCAAGAGAGGTTTAATTCCAGCATAAAGCGAATCGGTTTTTTAATGGTATGTCATACTATTTTTTAAGGTATGTCATACTGCATACTGAAGTAATACTCTAATATTTTTGTCTGCTTACTTCTGAACTTCATAAATCCTCTGCATTTTTATGAGGGTTGGAATTTATTTCCCTTCTCTCTTCCACTGTTTTCCAGGGGTCACAGTCATGGTGTAGTGTGCACAATGGATTTCGCATGGTCATCCTACCTTAGAATTTGGCACACTCCCTCCTCTAACCGCCTTCAAACTCTTCTTGGCGGAGATAGGCTGAAAGCAGCTCGGTTTTACACGGCGACGCAACCAGACGTGGCCCGTTGAACACGAGCAACCGAATGGCTTCGTTGGTGGCCCCTAGCGTTGCGCTAAAAAGCCCTTTGCAAACATATAGTCACCTTATTTGTTCCCGTGCTGGCATTTCTGAAACTCGTCAAGGCTGCAAGGGGATGCGCAGCTTTCCCACCGCACACAGGAACCACGGTGTTCTCCTGCTCCCCTAAAATTAAACCACCGCCTCTCGTTCGAACTGCACTTTAGTTTACAAAACGCCTTCACGAGCGTTATCTGACTTGACCCTCACGGCCAAGCGTGTTCTCGAGATAAGCCTCGAAGCGGTAGTGCCTATTTTATTGTTGAGGAAAGGATCCTGTGCATAGACCCAGTGCTAAGGGTCACTCTCCCCCCGATGGAGGAAGCAGCTTCCCGGCGGAAGGGAGAGCAAGTGTGACGCCCGCGGCCCCCAACCTCTCACCTGGCCGGCGGACCTGGCTACCGCCTATCAGTGGCCGGGAACGTAGGCCCGCGGTGGCGGCTGCTCGGGGTCTCCGAGGTCCTCTCGATCTCCGCCTGCGCTCGGCCTCAGACCCCAGACCCCAAAGTGCCTCAGGCTCTCCCCATCAGGCTCACCGTCCGATCTTGCCAGACAGCATCTGGAAGGACCGGGAAACTCCGCGTCCGCCACAGCCGTCCAAATCTGGGACCTACGGTCCGAGGCGACGGCGGTGACGATCACTACAAGGCCTGCAGGCTCTGGGGTAAGGAAAACCCGTCCCCAGTCAAGCGGCTGACATTTCCCAGCCAGCCGGAGCACCGCCCACTTCCGCTTCCCCGCCTACCCCGTGGGTAGCCCAGCCTCGCAGCCGCGGGGAGTTCTGGGTATCTCGAAGGCGGGTGAAGTAGTAAGGAAGGAAGCATCGGAGAGCCGGCCGGACTACGAGGCACAGCAGAAACTACAGTTCCCAGCAGGCCGCGGGGCCGCAGACGGCAGCGGCGGAGGAGAGCGAGTAGAAGAGCCCTGCGCGCGCGGCGAGGATGGAACGTTGCTAGAGTTCGCGGGTCTTGCTGCTGGGGGTCGGAGCTGCAGGCCGTGAGCCGCCGCGCGCCAAAGCGGGAATCCCGGAGGCGGGCAGTTCTGCAATTAATGTACGCATTTAAAACTCCAGAACCCGTGGACGCCATGCACAGGTAACCCGATTGCAAAAGGGGGCAGAGAGTGAATGAACGGTCTCAGTTTTTTTAGGCCGCGAATATTGCTACTTGCTAATATTGTTACAAATGCTGTAAAGTGAATACTTGCTTAGCTCCTTCTTTGGGAAAGAGTGGATGGCTGGATGCTTTAGTGCGGTGATAAGCGTGCGGTTTTATTTGCCTTCCCTTATTGAGCTTTCCTGCTACTGTTTTCCATCGTTGTGCTCTCCCGCTTGTCTGTTCCCTCCACTTTAAGACATTCTTGAGGCCTTCTCCGTGATCGTAAATCAAAAAGCCCTTTTGGTTTTCTGTTATTTTCTCTTTCCTTCTTAGAAACTTGCCGCCGGCATTTAAAAGCAATTCTATGAGACACTATGAAAGTTCTCTGCATTGCATAACTTGCAGTTTCATTTAGGCCTATCTTTGAATTATTCACGGGTGTTTTTGAAAGAAGCAGGGGCTGTTGTGCATTTCTGCAGGAAACACCTCCAGGAGATTCCCGACCAGAGTAGCAACGTTACCACCAGCTTCACGTGGGGATGGGATTCTAGCAAGACATCTGAACTGCTGTCGGGCATGGGGGTCTCTGCCCTGGAGAAGGAGGAGGTGGACAGTGAGAATATCCCCCAGGAACTGCTCTCAAACCTGGCCCACCCTCAGAGCCCTCCCCGAAAACGGCTGAAAAGCAAGGGGAATGACAAGGACTTTGTGATAGTCCGCAGACCTAAGCTAAATCGAGACAACTTTCCAGGTAAGGTATGAGGGTAAAACTGTCGGTCACATAAGAGGCGGATTGAAGTATTTTATTGGTAATCTTTGTTTAGCGATCTTTAGGATGGCACGCTTTTAAAATTGCCTACTTCTGAAGTCGTTTTTCAAAGAAATGGGACAACTGGTCACTGAAATCTACAGGAATCTTGGTAGGTATATATTTTCTGGTGCACAATTGACTTTTAACCCATGTGAAATTTTAACCCAGAAGACATTCCTGCCTCTTTCCTTTGAAGGGAATCTGCATGTACAAAGGCCAGCTCGGTGCCACTGATAAATGGGGACATAAGCAATAATCTTGTAGGATTTTTGTTGTTGTTGTTGTTTATATTCTGCTGATCTATAACCTTGATTGAGTTTGTTGCCATAATTGCTTTAGTTATTTGTCAAAGGACTAATAAAGTGAATGTTAAACTGAGTGTAGGGACTTATATCCCCAGGGACCTCCCAAGTGGGATTTTTCTGGTATGCTCTGTCTCCATTACTGGCAGCATTATCTGTTCAGTCAGTCAGTCCCTTCCCACCATCCTCCAGCATCCAACCAATCATTGAATCTTTCCCTTTTGTCTCCTAGGTGTTTTTCAAACTCTCACTATCTCTTGCCTGAATATTGGAATGGACTCATAATTCCAGTCTTATCCTCCACAGATCCACCCCCAGAGCTAGAGCGGACTGACTGAAATGTAGAACTCACCGTATCATTTCCCTCTTTGATAGCTCCCCATCCCCAGGCTTCTCAAACAGGTCAATGAGTGCCTCCCAGAGTGGAGCAGAACCCCAAGGGTACAAAAAGCCATAGGGTAAACACAGTGCAGTGACTTGGGTTATCAGTTTTTCTTGCCAGTAAGTCATTTAAAACAATCCCGCAAATATTTGCTGAGCACATGCTATGTGGGGGGGCATTGTTTTAGGTGTTGGGGATAAGGCAGCAAACAAAACCTAAACATTCCTGCCGTCGTAAAATTTCTGTTCGAGAGAGTAGATGCAATGAACGTAATAAACATTCCTGCCCTGGTAAAATTTCTGTTGGAGAGAGTAGATGCAATGAACATAAACAACTACATAATAAATGTAGTATGTTAGAAGGTGATAAATGTTGTGGCCAAAATCATATATAGAACAAGGCATGAGGGACTGAAGTCCTGGGGTGGGAAGATGGATTGCAACTTTAAATAGGGTATTGAGGGAAGGCCTCACTTAGACACGAGCTTTTTAAGCAAAGGCATAAAGGAAGTGTGAGGAATGTGCCATGCAAATATCTTGAAGAAGAGGGCTCCAAGCAGAGGACAAAGTCAGTGCAAAAACCCTAGGGCAGAAGCATGTCATGTTTGCTTAAGGAAGAAGGAAGCCATATGTGGAATGAGCAAAGGGGAGAGTAGTGGGAGATAGGGCTAGAGGTGGTGTTGAACAGACTTGTGATGTGACCTTTTAAAAGGACACACCGAGGGGCGCCTGGGTGGCTCAGACGGTTAAGCATCTGCCTTCGGCTCGGGTCTTGATCCCCGCGTCCTGGGATCGAGCCCCATATCGGGCTCCTGGCTCAGAGGGGAGCCTGCTTCTCCCTCTCCCTATGCTTCTCCCTATGCTCATGCTCTTTCTGTCTCTGTGTCTCAAATGAATAAATAAAATATTTAAAAAAAACAAAAGGACACGCTGATGTGTTGGGATTAAACTGTGGGGGGGGGTGGTCAGGCCTAGAAGTTTAGAGATTTATTAAGAGGTGTGGGAGTAGTGATAAGTGTGCTCCCATCTGACTTTCTTTGAAGAAGGGTTGGTTGGTTGCTTTGCTTAAAAAAAAAAAAAAAATCTGTTGTTTTGGGGTTTTGACTTTCATTAGGAAAGAGAACCTACAGATTATGGTCTAGAAATCTACATCAAGAAGGGGTGAATTAATTAGAAAGGCAATAAGGGTTTGTGAAGTCAGACAGATCTGACTTTACATCCTAATTCTGCTGTTTACCAGCCTTGGGAAGTTATTTGAGCTCTCTGTGCCTTTGTTTCTTTGTGAAATGGAATAATAATACTCACTTCATAGGTTGGTGTGAAGATTAAGTGAAAGAGTGCACATAAAACTTAGCATGCTGCGTGCACGTAACATGTGATAAGTAACCCCAGTTAATTTGGTCAAAATTTCTGACACTCATTTTGAAGCCACTTCACTTTTTCTTTTGTCCTTAATCCTGTTAGCCGGACCTTGTTAGTGTAGAATTTTTTTTTTCTCAAAATTTAATGTTAATGTTATTTTTAGTGTCTCGAGTGCAGCCCTAGCAATTTGGTGCTTGACCAACCAAATGTGGTGAACGACGCTTTCTGCTAAGATGAGCAGATTTTGATTAATTTGTCCAGTGCCGATTACTTTTACATGTTGAGCATGATTCCTGTGTGTCCTTCCACAGTCATACCCAGAGAGAGCTGTATAAATAAAAAAGTCATTTTTTAAGCAAGGCACTACAGAAGATGAAGGTATGGTTCCTGGCTTGTAGGAAATTGCTAGTCAAGTTGAGGAGAAGAGATAATACACACTAAGAGGAGCTCACAGCAGAAGATGGCAGCTAAAACACTAGCATCTGATGAGCAGTTCAGGTAGTAAGTGCTCTAGGAGGCCAGAGGAGGGGAACCCCTTGTGCCAAATTGAGGCAGGTGCGGCTTCCCAGGTACAGAAGGACTTCCAGGTGATTCCCAGGGGACGTGGACAGTCTTCCTCCTCTCAGCACAAGTGGAGGCTCTGCAGAAAGAAAGATCTGGAAATGGTCCAGTCAGTGAGTCTAGATTAAAATTGCCCTCAAATACATATGTCTGAAGTGAGAAGAGGGGAAAAAAAAAAAGTTTTTATGTTTGTTACTACCTAAGAGAGAGGCAGAGAAGG